AATTAGTTGTCTACCCAAAACAAAATACTCGCCCTATAATTATTTATTACTATTTATTTAGGGGAGAGTGGGGGAATTTCGTCAGCATTTTTTCAAAGCTATTTTTTGTCCATCTTGAGACACGTTATCATATTTCTATTTTTATTGTTGAATGCGGTTAGCACCAAGCTTTAAAATGTGACATTCCCCTATTTTTTTAATTAGCTTGGTGATTTATAAAAAAATAAAATGTAAAACCAATATACTGGGGCAATCTCACCACACAGGGGGGTAAAATCACCACACAACTGGGGAAATTTCGTCACCTGAAAAATGTAGGGAGTTTAACGCCTGAAAATATGCTACACTGATCAAGCGTACCATTTTTGTTGACGACCTATATTTGTTGCTGCTGCTGGTAGTCTGTTCGTTAGCCAGCTCGTCAAATATAAAAATATGTATTTAAAATAGGTGCGAATTTACCCTTAGCGTAGGGTGGCGAAATTTCCCCAGACCGTACTTTTTTAGAAATAATTATTTTTCTTGCGAAATTAGGCGCGAAGTTAAAAATCACTGACGCAGAAATGCACATTATAGCACTGTGTATTATATAAAAAATCGTGTATCTTATTCCTTTTGAATTGTGGCATACAGAAAAAATTTCGTCGAGAACTAAATGTAGCTTTTGAACTGTTAAAACACATTTAATATTATAGCTTAATTATCTTGGCCTTCTGTGCAAAACAAATGCATTGGTTGTGTCTGGCCGTCTTGAAGGACTAAAACAAAAAAATTATATATTTTTACGACTTATGGATTCCGAGATATTGCAGGTGACGAAATTGCCCCTGTGACGAAATTCCCCCACTCTCCCCTATATATACAACCCTAGTCAAAAGTATTTTCACAAATTTGAATGTTAACTCTACACATATTTTGAACTTATAATATAAACATTTTGGCACCTATGGAAAAAGCACTTCAATCCCGTTTAAATGACACAAAAATTTTCTTAACCCATTAAGCACCCTTTGAAAAGTGGACAAATTAGACAATTTTTTTCGAAAGTCAAATTTTCAACTTTTTTTCTGGGGCTTAAAACAAAAATGTTTTGATGCAAAGTTGTTCCCCAATCAAAATTAATAATAACTGCAAAAAAATTTTTTTAAATATTTTTCCTTGTATTTTTTATGATTTTTTGAAAATAGCTATTTTTGCCGCTTTTTCTTCCTTTTCATACAAAATTTTACTGAGAGGTCTCCATTCAAAAAATCATAAAAAATACAAGGAAAAATATTTAGAAACATTTTTTTTTGCAGTTATTATTAATTTTGATTGGGGAACAACTTTGCATCAAAACATTTTTGTTTTAAGCCCCAGAAAAAAGTTGAAAATTTGAATTTCGCAAAATTTGCTCACTTTTCAAAGGGGTCTTATAGGGTCTTCCCACAGAGCTCCATCCACCATCTACCATCCGTTGAACGGATGGTCCGTAAGGTTTTGCCGTTCCGAAAATTTCCCAGTTAGTCCGCCATCCAATTTTAACGGACTTTGACGGGCTCTTTTATGCGATAGTTAGGCGATGTTTTCTCGGTGCAACTCTGAATTCTTCCTCTTGACTGTGAAAATTGGAACGATGACTGCGAGAACAAATCAAATCGATGGCGGGAAAAAATTAAATAATGCTTCAGCTCATTGTTTTTTGGGTTTTTTTTAATTTTTTGTAGTTTGTTATGAGCGGAAAAGCGTTCGCAAGCAGGTTGTTATGTGTGGGCCAAAATGTAAGCTGTCGTGCGTACGAAAACATAAATGTTTGCAGCAAAGCGTCAAAATATGTTCTGCACTTCGTAAATATAACTAATGTTAATTAAAAGTGTACTTTGTACTCCTATAAAGTTCCAAAGTTGCTATAATTTACCATAAACAGCATACATTTGGTTTTGTTTACAAATTTTTCAGATTAATTTTGGCTAGGCAGAGGCGTAGTAAGAGCGGAGTGTGAGGTACGGGAGGTTAGGCTCCCCCACAGTCAGCAATATGTATGCATACTCATTGTAGGATATATTTTTATTTTTTATATATTTTTTATCTATTTATTGTATTATTCTCCAATAAAATTAGGAGAACGCAATTTTACGACAGTTTTTCCGAGTTAAAATCCCCCTTCGTTAATGTTGCGCTGAGCAACTGCTCTTCACTCAGCTGTAATTGGATGGTAGATGGTGGATGGAGTTCTGTGGGAACACGAGTTTCACATTCGTCAAAAATCCCAACCGTTTCAAACGGATGGACTCTATGGGAAGAGGCTATTAATGGGTTAAGAAAATTTTTGTGTCATTTAAACGGAATTGAAGTGCTCTTTCTATAGATGCCAAAAGTTTATATTATAAGTTCAAAATATAAGTACAGTTAACATTAACATTTGTGAAAACCACCCCTGTATATACATGTTCCCTGTAAAAGTCCTTCGGTACAGTTGGTAGGCTGTCTAGATGTTTAAGAGAAATTTCTGAAAATACAGTGTGATAGTGAAATGAAGTTGTCAGAGGATGCACTAATGGTTGGGAGGGCCTCCAAGGATGAGTTTAGCAGTGTACGAATTCAACAGTGTAGTCCAGTCCAGATGTTCCGAAATCAGTGATAAAAAATCAGCCGTTGTCCAAGTTTGAAATTCCGTTTTGTTTTTGTTTTGTCTGCTGCGTGTATATATTTTTGGTTGTTCCCTTTCCCTGGGAGAAACTTTGTCTAGCCGGCAACGAACGCGCGAAAAGCAGGACATGAGAAGAGGCTATAAAATATATAATATAATACTATATATAAGAATATTTTTGGACTATCGACAAAGCATGTGCGTCAAATTAGCGCCGGTGACTTAGCGGCGAAAGGTGGAAGGGTGGAATTTGGAACATGGGGACAATTTTTAATTTTTGATTTCTTCGGCGTCTGGGGGCCACATTGAACAATATTTAATGCAAAATTATTTAAAATGCAAATATCGGGTGAACTTCCGTTTAGCTTCTACCCCCAATTTTGTTCAAACTTTCCATATCGACGTGTTTTTGGGTCCTGATTATTGGAAAAATAGTCAAAGTTGGCGCAAATAACGGGATCATGGAAAATAACGGTAAAAACTGCTTTTCTTAAATATCTTCGAATAATATCTTCGAATAATAAAAAGCTAGCTAGGAGAAATGAAAGCTATTAAATAAATGAGTATTTTATGTTTTATACATTTTTTCTGTAAAACTAATAGTTTTCGTTAAAAACGCTAAATATGAATATTTTTTCACAATGTTTGAAAATAAACAAGAAAGGAAGCTACCTTCGGCCAGCCGAAGCTTATATACCCTTGCAGATAAAAGAATGCTCACTCGGTGCTGTTCCAGGGATTCCAGATTCAACGTTTCTATTTATTAAAATTTTATTTTAAGTAGTCAAGAATCAAAACGCCTACTTCCTACAAAGTTACAATGAATTTTCTTATATTTGTTTGAATATTCCTATGGGAGCCTTAAGATATAGTGGTCCGATCCGGCTCGCTCCGACATATGTACTACCTGCAATAGAAAGAAGACTTTCGGGAAAGTTTCATCGCGATAGCTTTAAAACTGAGAGACTAGTTCGCATAGAAACGGACAGACGGACAGATGGACAGACTGACAGACGGACAGACGGACATGGCTAGATAGACTCGGCTATTGGTGCTGATCAAGAATATAACCACTTTATGGGGTCGGAAACATCTCCTTCACTGCGTTGCAAACTTCTGACTGAAATCATAATACCCTCTACAAAGGTATAAAAATCGTGTCCCCACAATTTTCTTTACTGCTCCCCTCACAGAGGTTGTACCAATGTGCACGGTAAACATGATTATTGTTCAGTTTTTGAGAAAAAAGCATAGCGCGATGCCGGCATCTCATTTAGAACAAATACAATGCATGTTGGTACAACGTCTGTGAAAGTCAATTTAATTGGAAATAGAGTTATCGTCGAAACATAAATATTTTCCCATATGGTAAGAGTCTTGGGAGCGTAGAACAGGGTTGTTCTGGTTCCAAATTTGAAACAAATGATATGCTGACAACGCGCTATGCTTTTTTCTGAAAAACTGACGGCTTTACGTTAACCGTACCACATTAGTTAATTAGTAAAATAAATTTCCTTTCGACTGATGCATCGCGCATGTTGGTACAACGGCAGTGAAAGTCAATTTAATTGGAAATAGAGTTAGCGTCGAATCAGATTTTTTTTCCTTATGGTTAGTGTAATGAATACATTTTTTACATAGTGGTTCATGTCTTGGAACTTACTGGCTCAAATTTGAATTTAGCGGCACTTCTTTTAACTTTTTATCTTCCTCCACTATAAAGCAATTTTCTCACAAACTGACGGCTTTATCTTTATGGTTTTTTCACTGAACTTGTTTTGGGCGATCCACAATCTGCCAATACACCGTGCATGTTGGTACAACGTCTGAGAGTGGAGTCCTGTTCAGTTTAATATTTGCCCCCCTTTTTTGTATGGGGAAAATCCGCGGTGCATTCACTGTTAGGCGATTTTCTCAAAAACTGACGGCTTTAGCTTAATGATATTTTCTGACAAGAAGCTTGAATTAACGCCCAATAATCATGTTTACCGTGCATATTGGCACAACCTCTGTGAGGGGAGCAATAAAGAAAATTGTGGGGACACGATTTTTTGAATAGATTTTAAACATATTTCTAGTAGTCGGATAGGCTCGAAACCTATTTAGATCGATAGATATTTTCATTCTGAACAAATTTTGCATTAAATATTGTTCAATTCGGCCCCCGGAAGCCGAAAAAATCAAAAATTAAAATTGCCCCCATGTTCCATATTCCACCGTTCCACAATCGCCGCTAAGTCACCAACGCTAATTTGACGCACATCACAATTTGATATACTGTAGAAAATACCACTTTTTATTTAATAGAATGCAATGAAACTGATTTGGTATTTTATGGTTTTTGTTTTCGGACCGTGTGGTATTTTTTATCATTATCAGCGAGGTCACATTGGTTGGATTCTGAGGAGCTGGTTTTTTGTGCATTTTTGGATTTTGAGCGCCCTTGCCTTTTGAGGATTCTTTAGACACGATAATGGCGGATGACACCAACGAGGACAGCTGGCTGTATGGCACCTCGAATCCGGACTCCACGACCGGCGAGCTGGGCAATGGCGGGGATTCACTGACGGCGGAGCACGAGGCCGTGGCGGAGGCTCAGGCATTGGCCGCAGTGGTGGCCGGCGAGAAGCCGGTTTCATCGGTCGGAGTTGAATGCGCCGGAGATTCGCCACGCTATCCCAAGGAGGAGGTACCCGAGTACTCGGAGTTCGACGATCCGGCACAGGAAATGGAGGAGGACGAGGAGGCACTTCCCGACACCACGGACGGCAGAGGTCGGAGGGATAGGGATCGTGATCGGGATCGAGGCCGGTTTGCGGATAGGTCTGATGCTCAGTGTTCCCCAGATCCAGAGGATGATGAGATGGCCGATGCACCCAGCTCTAGACGGGAAAGGAACGGGTCAGGGTCCGACGAAGACGATGATGACGACTCGGACGACGATATAAACGTGGTCATCGGGGACATTAAGCAAGCCCCAAGCACCTACAACATCAAGCAGAGACCTAATCTCCTGGCCGGAGGCACTGGGGCCGCCGGAGACAAGGCCAAGCCGACTGGCCAGGCTGGAAAGTTTAGCATCGAGGATTTCGAGGGCGCCGGCACAATTAATGGGGTCGCAGTGCACGAATTCAGCATCGATTCGCTAGAAGAAAAACCGTGGCGCAAGCCGGGAGCAGATATTACGGACTACTTCAACTACGGATTCAACGAAGAAACGTGGCGCGCCTATTGCGAGCGGCAGAAGCGCTTTCGGGTGGCGGAGAGTGGCGTAGGACTGGCCAGTCTTACGCAGAACGTTAACCAGAATGCACCCATTGGAATTCTAACAGATGGCGGAATGGGAATGGGCCCACCAGGAATGCACAGCATCCAGTCCATGGTAGGAATGGGCGGAGAGGGTGGCATGCAGATGCCTCCGCCGGGAATGCCGCCGCCCATGATGCAGCACCAGTCGCGGTCCGGAATGGGACTAATGCAACGTCCACCAAGACCCATCTCCACAACAGGTGGCGAAAGGGGCGGTGATCGTGAAAGGGGTGTTAAGGAGAACGCCATACAAGTGATGACCGCCGAGTGCCGAGAGTATTCGCGTGGTGGCCTGGGACCCATGGCACCAAACTTCCCGTTACCCGGAGCCTCTGAGGAACCCTTCTTCCACGAGCCAGAACCTTTCGACTACGGCTATGAGCCCACTCAGGAGTCGCAGTGGGGAAGCGACAATGCTGGGTGGGTGCCCAGCGGGATCAAGGAACTGACTCCGGGTCATGCCCATATGCAACAGCCACCACCTGGTATGCCGCCTCCTGGGATGAGTGTGCCCCCGCCACAGATGGGCGGTCCGCCACCTAATTTACGCGGAATGTTGCCGCCTAACATGCGCATGCCACCAAATATGAGTGAGTTCCAGAAACGAAGATTTACAATACCTTTTGCCGGGCTTACCCTTGTTTACTCTTGCAGACATGGGACCGCCACCAGGAATGATGATGGGAGGCAACGGACCGCCGATGCGAATGGGGATGGCGCCGCCACAGCGAATGACGATGGGCGGTAAGAATAATCAAATTCATTGCATTAGCTTGGAAGTATATGAGTAACTTACAAAATGAATGTTTTGTGGATAAAAGAGTAGAACCGTTTTCTCGCCCGCATGATAAATTCGAAAGAGGCTTTAAAACCTACTTTACATTTAACGTGGACGAGAAACGGTTTATATATTTTTTTTAATCATCCAAATTTAAGTGAGATTTTTACGTCACTAAATATTTAAAGTTATTGAAACTACTTATTTTGGTGGTACATTTTTGTGTCTTTTACGACACAAGTTTTTTTTATACCCTTGTAGAGGGTATTATAATTTCAGTCAGATGTTTGCAACGCAGTGAAGGAGACGTTTCCGACCACATAAAGTATATATATTCTTGATCAGCACCAATAGCCGAGTCTATCTAGCCATGTCCGTCTGTCCGTCTGTCCGTTTCTATGCGAACTAGTCTCTCAGTTTTAAAGCCATCGCGATGAAACTTTCCCGAAAGTCTTCTTTCTATTTCAGGTAGTACATATGTCGGAGCGAGCCGGATCAGACCACTATATCTTAAGGCTCCCATAGGAGTATTCAAACAAATACAAGAAAATTCATTGTAACTTTGTAGAAAGTAGGCGTTTTGATTCTTGACTACTTTTGTATAAACAAAATTTAAATATAAACGCTGAATCTGGAATCCCTGAACCTGCACCGAGTGAGCATTACTCTATCTACAAGGGAATATAAGCTTCGGCTGGCCGAAGGTAGCTTCCTTTCTTGTTACTAATTATATTGGTGGAAAGTTTTGTTAGTTAGTTTTAATAACTCAACATTCCGTTTTGTCATTTATATTTCAGACCGTGGTGGCTACGAGGATGATCGGGAACGGAGAAGGCGTGAGAAGGACAAACTGCTAAAAAAAGATCAGGTTTTAGGACCTAACCTAATATAAAAATTTGGAGTATCGCAAATATTTCTTTTTCAGCTGCGAAAGGACTTCCTTGACATGCTGCGGGAGAGACATGATATTGAAAGGCACACTAGGTGGTATGACATCAAGAAAAAGTTTGAGGCGGATCCGAGGTACCGAGCCCTTGACTCGTCATATCGCGAAGAGTACTTTGAAGACTATCTACACCTGCTCAAGGAGGAGAAGCGCAAAGAACGTGACCTTAAGGAACGGGAGCGACATCGCGATAAGGAGCGATCTCGTGACAAAGACAAGGAGAAGGATAAAGATAAGGAAAAGGATAAAGAAAAAGATAAGGATAAAGACAAAGATAAAGATAAGGATAAGGACAAGGACAAAGAAAGCTCGCGTCGAGAACGCTCCCGATCTCGAGAAAAGTCCAGCCGTCGGAAGTCCAAGTCTCGCGAGAAAGATCGAAGCGAACGAAGCAGCAAGAGCAGCAGTAGCAACGCCGCCGGATCTTCCAGTCGCAGCGAGAAGAAAAAGTCTCATCGCAAGGATAAAGAAGAGGAGGAATAGCATTTGTTTAGGTACTATATGGAAGACGAACGAGAAGCAACTCTTTGAGCTGCGCTCCACAAAAAATTAAAAGGAAGAAGTAAAAAAATATATTCGAAATACTTTCAATAAAAGATAGATCTAAAAAAAGTGGACGACTGTTAAAAGAAAAATATGAGGATTGGAGATAAATACACTTTGTATATTTTAAAGTAAGCAGAGTAGTTTTATTGGTAAAAGTCTAGAAGACGACCGCGATTTCTAAGGAAAGGAAAGTTCGCTGTCAAAATAATAAGCATTTGATAAATTTCGACAAAAATCTGTAATTGTATTTATAGCAGGCCAGACCACATAACCGCGAATTAAATATCTTCGATGGACCGTGATTCCTTAAGGGGTTATATACCTTTTCTTTTTTCAAAATAACGAAAATTTTCTTTGCTGAATCCTGAAGTATATCCCCTAGAGAACATTCTCCCAAATTTTCATAAAGATCCGAATAATAGTTCGCTAGGAAAACAGCGTTTTGTCTGCTCGACTTCAATAGTTGCATATGGGCACTTCCATGTTGTCGCTCGGGACATTTGCACACCTTTAAAGTTGAAAAAAAATGGATTTAAATTTTAATAATGGGCTTTTCTTTTCGCTCTTCCCAAGCTCTGTTTTGTGCAAAAATCTTGATTTTGTACCACTTTTAGTTTTTAAGATATCGATACCGTATTCGCTCGGGACAAAAATAGAAGTAGATTTCGGGGAAGTTCAATCAACAACAGAATTTAGCGAACTCTGATGGAATATTTCAATGCGATTTTTTTTTAGAATGTTGTCCAAACATGTCGCTATGAAATGGTTTTGGTTTTACTCAATAATTGTTTGCCGTTTTTTTTTTATGCAGTTTCAACCACATTCGCTCGGGACATTTTTTCTGAGCGTTTTGTAAAGTGTATTTCCTTACCTCTATCCCTCAATTACTGGCTGTTTTGCATTTATCTTAATACTTTAACATGTAAATGAAGCATTCAGTACAGAATAATGTCACATATTACCATTCATAAAGGATAAATTACCAACTAAAGACAGGTTCAAAAAAAAAAAAAAACAAGAGAGAACGCTATAGTCGGGTGCCCCGACTATCAGATACCCGTTACTCAGCTAAAGGGAGTGCGAAGGAGATGGAGAAAAACTTTGATCCGCCGTAACTTTTTAACAAATGGTCCGATTTAAAAAATTTCTTCTACATTTCGATAGGTATTGATAAACACAATAAAACTGCATTTTTACATTTCCAAAATATTGAAATTTTTAAAATCGTATATAAGCGATTGTGGGCGTTAGAGGGGGCGTGGCACCCTTTTGAAACAAACTTGCGCTGCGTAGGAACTCCTAGAATCTGCATGCAAAATGTCAATCTTCTAGCTTTTATAGTTTCCGAGATCTCAGCGTTCATACAGACAAACAGACGGACAGACAGACGGACAGACGGACATGGCTAGATCGACTCGGCTAGTGATATAGAATATATATAGTTTATAGGGTCGGAAACGCTTCCTTCTACCTGTTACATACTTTTGCACGAATCTAATATACCCTTTTACTCTACGAGTAACGGGTATAAAAAAAAAACGAATTTTTGCGAATATTGGTGGGGTTTGTCCTAAAAATAATCAAACTATACTCCAAAATTTTACTTAAGCTCAGGATGAAACTATTTAGAAACTAATATCGGGGCAAAATCCCGTGGAAATATGTTTTATTCAAGTTTCAAGATTTTTGGCTTGGAGGACCTTTTGGTGGAAGTGCCCATATACTCAACGTAAAACTTTGAATGCGATTATCTCAAAGTCGTGTTTTTCCAAAAGTGCCTTCGCTGTGACCACGATTGCACAAGAACTATTTGATCGATCTTCTTCAATTTTTTTTAAATTATTCGTGCCGAGTTCGTGAACTATTCAGTTTTTATGCGCCAATTTTTATTTCGCAGATCAGAATTTTGTAATAAAATTTTTAGAACTCGAAAAATTAACATTTTGGAAAAATTCTTACTGTATGCAGAAATAACCAAATATTCTTGAAAATAATAGTTCACGAACTGGAAACAATAGGGGAGAGGTCTGTAGGCTGAGACAGTCTGTAAGTTAAGACACTCAATTTTCTCAAAACTTTTCCACTAAAAAAATTTTTTTTATTTTTTTTTGTAGTCCTTTTTAGTGAAAAAACTTTTGGGGAAAACATTATAAGCCAGGCTCTAGCCAGATTTAAGCTGTGAGAGTCGTGTACCATTTTGCACCAAAAAGTTTTTGTCTACTTTTTTCAAAATTCCATTTAAAATTAATAACGTCCTTAAATTAACTTGGTAAGAGATTTAAAACATTAGTATATTAACTGTTAACTAATTAAAAAAAAATCAGCTTAATGTGACAGTCAGAACAAAAGTTATTAATTTTTTTCCGAAACATCCCATTTTGTGTAAGTTGAGACACTTTGAGCGTGTAAGTTGAGACACCCGTTTTTCATACAAAAAGGCCTGAGGCCAACAAAGGTCGCTTTCTGCCTAGTACATTTCTTTGATATTAGGGGAAAAGTGAATGTTCAAAGAGCCTTTTGATTTTGATTGTTATTTGGTCTAAGTTCTTAAAAAGTGGATGGGAAATGATTTAGGACGAGCTAAAATTGATTAAATTAACATAAATAAATAGTTCCTTATAGTTTGGAGTACTTTTTGTGTGAGTATTATTGACTTTAAAAAGTGTCTCAACCTACAGACCTCTTTTTCAAATTGTAATTTTTTGGCACTTTTCAAAAAATATTATTTTTTAGTTTTTCCAAGGAAAAAAAAATTGAGGCGGATTCGAGGTACCGAGTCATATCGCGAAGAGTACTTTGAAGACTATCTACACCTGCTCAAGGAGGAGAAGCGCAAAGAACGTGACCTTAAGGAACGGGAGCGACATCGCGATAAGGAGCGATCTCGTGACAAAGACAAGGAGAAGGATAAAGATAAGGAAAAGGATAAAGAAAAAGATAAGGATAAAGACAAAGATAAAGATAAGGATAAGGACAAGGACAAAGAAAGCTCGCGTCGAGAACGCTCCCGATCTCGAGAAAAGTCCAGCCGTCGGAAGTCCAAGTCTCGCGAGAAAGATCGAAGCGAACGAAGCAGCAAGAGCAGCAGTAGCAACGCCGCCGGATCTTCCAGTCGCAGCGAGAAGAAAAAGTCTCATCGCAAGGATAAAGAAGAGGTGGAATAGCATTTGTTTAGGTACTATATGGAAGACGAACGAGAAGCAACTCTTTGAGCTGCGCTCCACAAAAAATTAAAAGGAAGAAGTAAAAAAATATATTCGAAATACTTTCAATAAAAGATAGATCTAAAAAAAAGTGGACGACTGTTAAAAGAAAAATAAGAGGATTGGAGATAAATACACTTTGTATATTTTAAAGTAAGCAGAGTAGTTTTATTGGTAAAAGTCTAGAAGACGACCGCGATTTCTAAGGAAAGGAAAGTTCGCTGTCAAAATAATAAGCATTTGATAAATTTCGACAAAAATCTGTAATTGTATTTATAGCAGGCCAGACCACATAACCGCGAATTAAATATCTTCGATGGACCGTGATCCCTTAAGGGGTTATATACCTTTTCTTTTTTCAAAATAACGAAAATTTTTATACCCTTGCAGAGGGTATTATGATTTCAGTCAGAAGTTTGCAACGCAGTGAAGGAGACGTTTCCGACCCCATAAAGTATATATATTCTTGATCAGCATCACAAGACGAGCCGATCTAGCCATGTCCGTCTGTCCGTCTGTCCGTCCGTCTGTCCGTCTGTCTGTTTCTACGCAAACTAGTCTCTCAGTTTTTGAGCTATCGGGACAAAACTTTCGCAAAAGTCTTCTTTCTATTGCAGGTAGTATATATGTCGGAGCCGACCGGATCGGACAACTATATCTTATAGCTCCCATAGGAACAATCGGAAAAAAAAACTTTAAAAAATTCTAGCTTCGGTGTTTTTTGAAATATTACCTTCTACTTTTGGGGATGTTATTTTTTAAATATTTCTGAATTTCGAATTAATTATTTAAAAAATCGGACTACTATATCATATAGCTACCATAGGAACGATCGGAAAATTAATGGAAAAGTAATGGAAATAAATTCTAGCTTCTTTGGTTTTTATTGTATTATCTTCTACTCTAGGATATGACTCTTTTTAAATATTTCCGAATTTCAATTTTAATTTGATCAAAATCGGACGACTATATCATATAGCTGCCATAGGAACGATCGGAAAATTAATGAGAAATATTAGAAAATTGAACATTTTTGCGATTTGTTAATTAATAGGAATGATCTGCAAGGGTATATAAGCTTCGGCTGGCCGAAGCTAGCTTCCTTTCTTGTTTTTGCTGAATCCTGAAGTATATCCCCTAGAGAACATTCTCCCAAAATTTCATAAAGATCTGAATAATAGTTCGCTAGGAAAACAGCGTTTTGTCTGCTCGACTTCAATAGTTGCATATGGGCACTTCCATGTTGTCGCTCGGGACATTTGCACACCTTTAAAGTTGAAAAAAAATTGTAAAAAAATTGATTTAAATTTTAATAATGGGCTTTTCTTTTCACTCTTCCCAAGCTCTGTTTTGTGCAAAAATCTTGATTTTGTACCACTTTTAGTTTTTAAGATATCGCTAAAAAACTGCCGTATTCGCTCGGGACAAAAATAGATTAATAGATTTCGGGGAAGTTCAATCAACAACAGAATTTAGCGAACTCTGATGGAATATTTCAATGCGATTTTTTTTTAGAATGTTGTCCAAACATGTCGCTATGAAATGGTTTTGGTTTTACTCAATAATTGTTTGCCGTTTTTTTTTTATGCAGTTTCAACCACATTCGCTCGGGACATTTTTTCTGAGCGTTTTGTAAAGTGTATTTCCTTACCTCTATCCCTCAATTACTGGCTGTTTTGCATTTATCTTAATACTTTAACATGTAAATGAAGCATTCAGTACAGAATAATGTCACATATTACCATTCATAAAGGATAAATTACCAACTAAAGACAGGTCCAGAAAAGAAAAAATAGCCAAAAACGAATTTTTGCGAATATTGGTGGGGTTTGTCCTAAAAATAATCAAACTATACTCCAAAATTTTAGTTAAGCTCAGGATGAAACTATTTAGAAACTAATATCGGGGCAAAATCCCGTGGAAATATGTTTTATTCAAGTTTCAAGATTTTTGGCTTGGAGGACCTTTTGGTGGACGTGCCCATATACTCAACGTAAAACTTTGAATGCGATTATCTCAAAGTCGTGTTTTTCCAAAAGTGCCTTCGCTGTGACCACGATTGCACAAGAACTATTTGATCGATCTTCTTCAATTTTTTTTAAATTATTCGTGCCGAGTTCGTGAACTATTCAGTTTTTATGCGCCAATTTTTATTTCGCAGATCAGAATTTTGTAATAAAATTTTTAGAACTCGAAAAATTAACTTTTTGGAAAAATTCTTACTGTATGCAGAAATAACCAAATATTCTTGAAAATAATAGTTCACGAACTGGAAACAATAGGGGAGAGGTCTGTAGGCTGAGACAGTCTGTAAGTTGAGACACTCAATTTTCTCAAAACTTTTCCACTAAAAAAATTTTTTTTATTTTTTTTTTGTAGTCCTTTTTAGTGAAAAAACTTTTGGGGAAAACATTATAAGCCAGGCTCTAGCCAGATTTAAGCTGTGAGAGTCGTGTACCATTTTGCACCAAAAAAGTTTTTGTCTACTTTTTTCAAAATTCCATTTAAAATTAATAACGTCCTTAAATTAACTTGGTAAGAGATTTAAAACATTAGTATATTAACTGTTAACTAATTAAAAAAAAATCAGCTTAATGTGACAGTCAGAACAAAAGTTATTAATTTTTTTCCGAAACATCCCATTTTGTGTAAGTTGAGACACTTTGAGCGTGTAAGTTGAGACACCCGTTTTTCATACAAAAAGGCCTGAGGCCAACAAAGGTCGCTTTCTGCCTAGTACATTTCTTTGATATTAGGGGAAAAGTGAATGTTCAAAGAGCCTTTTGATTTTGATTGTTATTTGGTCTAAGTTCTTAAAAAGTGGATGGGAAATGATTTAGGACGAGCTAAAATTGATTAAATTAACATAAATAAATAGTTCCTTATAGTTTGGAGTACTTTTTGTGTGAGTATTATTGACTTTAAAAAGTGTCTCAACCTACAGACCTCTTTTTCAAATTGTAATTTTTTGGCACTTTTCAAAAAAAATTATTTTTTAGTTTTCCCAAGGAAAAAAAATTTTTTTTTGCTTTATTTTACAGCTAAAAGACTAAGCTTTCGATCGAATGTCCAAATGGGAGACTAAAAACAAAAGGTGTCTCAACCTACAGACCTCTCCCCTACTACCTATACTAATAACATTTTTTTGGTTTTTTGATTTTAATTGACCTGCTAGACTTCCATCGTGATCACCGCAAATCGCTATAAAAAAAAGGGTTCCGAGAGGATTGCCATAATTTCGTAAATTATTCATATTTTTTCAAGAACAAACGCTTGTTGTTTTGATAAAAACATGTACTATTAATAAAAAATATCTTCAGTGTCATAAATTAATTGCTACACACCTGAAAAAAATCCAAAGTTCCCTCAATTTTTTCGCTCAAAAAGGTATATAACCCCTTAACTCGAACGACCATGGATGACCAACATATGGCCACTTCCACGAAAAAGTCCGCCAAGCCAAATAACTTTAAACTTGAATGAAACATATTTCCACATGATTTTTCCGCGATATTAGTTTAACTAAAAATGTTGAGTATAGTTTGATTACACTAGTTTACAGCCGAAATGCTCCCCAGCAATTGATGTCAAATTCTGTTAGTGTTGGACCCCTAGATCACGAAAATACGACTAATTTTTATACCCTTGCAGAGGGTATTATGATTTCAGTCAGAAGTTTGCAACGCAGTGAAGGAGACATTTCCGACCCCATAAAGTATATATATTCTTGATCAGCATCACAAGACGAGTCGATCTAGCCATGTCCGTCCGTCCGTCTGTCCGTCTGTCCGTCCGTCTGTCCGTCTGTCCGTCCGTCTGTCCGTCCGTTTCTACGCAAACTAGTCTCTCAGTTTTAAAGCTATCAGGATGAAACTTTCGTAAAAGTCGTATTTCTATTGCAGGTAGTATATATGTCGGAACCAACCGGATCGGACAACTATATCTTATAGCTCCCATAGGAAGGATACAAAAAAAAAACGTAAAAAAATTGTAGCTCCGGTGTTTTTTGAAATTTTACTTTCTACTCTTGGGAATATTTTTATACCCGTTACTCGTAGAGTAAAAGGGTATACTAGATTCGTGCAAAAGTATGTAACAGCTAGAAGGAAGCGTTTCCGACCCCATAAAGTATATATATTCTTGATCAGGGTCACTAGCCGAGTCGATCTAGCCATGTTCGTCTGTCCGTCTGTCCGTCTGTCCGTCTGTATGAACGCTGAGATCTCAGAAACTACAAAAGCTAGAAGGTTGAGATTTCCCACACATGGGCGGTTCTTTTACAAACCGAACACCTTTTATTGGCTCATATTTTTGATTTGCCTGAAACTTTTTTTACACGTACTATTCGGAAAATAAGTAAACACGTGTATCAGGATTAGACCAAAAAAAAATAATTTTCCTAGTTAGAATTTTTTTAAGTGTGCCAAAAATTGTCAAATTTGAAAAAGTACCCTCTCATTGAAAATCTGTATCTCCGGTTATATGAATCCAATTGACTTCATGTCTTTTGCATTAATTCCTCTAAAACCACTCCTTTCAAAATAAAATTTCTTAAAAAAAATTTTTTTTTTATTTTAATACTTGCGCCATATTGTTAGTTACAATCGGTTTTTGTAAAAAGTTGGAGCCACTTTTAGTTTTTAAAATATCGAATTTGTTTTAGCAAGGCCTCGGCTTCTTTCTATGAAAAAACGTCGCAGCAAGTAGATCTACTCTCTCACTCTTATCGGATCCTAATGGAATTTATGTTTTCTCATTGTTTACTAGTCCTTTAACAATTGATAATGATTAAAAGTTAAGTTTTAAGTTTTTTGACAATTCTGAATGACAAAAAGTAAAAAGTCATTTTTTAATCAATTAAAAACTTACAACTATTTATTTAACCGTCTATTTAATAAACAATAATTTTAAATTTATTTTATTTATTATTTTTTTATATTATGTAATTTATTAAACATTTTAAAATATTTTTTTTTAAGTTTTTAAAAAAATTTATTTAATAAAAATAAAAAATTATAAAATTTAATTAATTTTTTTTTTTAATTTAAAAATAAATATTTTAAAATGTTTAATAAATTACATAATATAAAAATAATAATAAATAAAATAAATTTAAAATTATTGTTTATTAAATAGACGGTTAAATAAATAGTTGTA